GAGAGTTGCACCGCCTGGCGCGCGAAACTCGTTATAGTCTAGGGAGAGAAGTATATTGATTGCAGTGTGCAAGCCGAACCCGAATTAACATTGAATAACATATACGTCAGTAAAAAATTAAAAAGATATAAACATTATATAACAATTTATTTCTCCACATGTCGTGGGCCGCTTCACTCCAACGACGTCGGCGGACCGCCAGACCGCGCGGCGCGCCCACGCGCCACGCCACCACGGCCACCGGCGCTGTACCACTGTTCCGTGTTTTCGACTTTTCGTCCGCACCTGCACACGCGGACGAGTGCGCAGACCGCCCCGCAGCGCGCCACCGGGCGCTCCATCTAGCTTTGCCTCTGTCAGCGCATCACTTTTCAGCGCCCAAGCTCCACCAACGTCCCGTCGTGCACCTCGACTAAGCAGCGCAGCAGCACGGAGCTCGGCCCGCACGGCGCCAGCTCCAGCCGCACCGCCCTCCCCTCCCTCGCCGCCCTCCGCCTCTCCGCCGCCGCCCGCTCGGCGTCGCCCCTCCGCCCCGCCCGCCGGGCTCGCTTCGCCTCGCGGCGCGCCTCGTCGAAATTGGCGACCACGGCCGCGCGGCGCGCCTCGCTCACCCCCGCGCCGTTTGAGCGGTTGGGCGCGGGGACGGCAGCCAAGGTGCCGCTTGCCTCCGGGCCCGCGGCGTGTGCGGCTGAGGTGGCGCTGCGGGGGGCCAGCGCCGCCCAAGGCCGGCTGCAAAAGATGAAGTCGTTGAGAAACCTACGCTCGCAGCGGCGGCGGTGGTGCGTCCCGAGGTCTCGCGAGGTCTCGCGGCAGGAGGACAGCCGCCAGAGCGACTGCACGCGGTGTTGCTCCACCGCAACCACACCGCGCCCCGCCCCGCCAGCCTCCTCGCCGCCCTCGCCGCCGCCGCCCTCGACGTCGCACTCGACGCAGCGGCTCAGGTTGTCGACCCAGACGGCGAACTTGCGCTGCAGCTCCTGCCTGGACGCGCCTCCCACCCACTTGCCGCGCTGCCACTTGCCGGCGACCGCGACCGCCTTTGCGGCGAAGCAGTGCCCGTTGGCGGAGCCGAACACGTCGCCGCGCTGCGCGAAGAAGGCGGGCGGGAGGCAGCAGGGCTTGAGGCCGAGGAAGAAGAAGGAGGGGCTGTCGTTGAAGAGGTCGACCGCCCGCAGCGAGAGAGTGCCGCACAGGTGCACGCCGAGTAGCATCGCCGGACACCCGCGCGACAAAAAGGCGCGCAGGAGGCTGCGCCGGTCGCTGGGCGTCTTGAGGTCGGCGTGCGACGTCGAGAGCCGGATCGGCCACCCGGGGTCGGAGATGTGCGCCGGGTCGATGTGGTGCGGCCGCCGCTCGACGCCGTGCCTCGCCCACGCCTTGTCGACGAGGACGATCCGCTCAACCTGCACGGCGTCGGTGGAGAGGCGGCTAGACGTGGGGCGCGTAAACACCACTGAATTTTGGGCGAACCTTGTCCGGCGGCAGCAGCTCGGAGAGGAACATGGCCATGTACCCAAACCCAGAGCAAAGGTCGATCACGACGACCCGCGCACCTCCCTCCAACTTCACCGACTGCGCCTCGAGCCTCGCACGCTCCAGCACCGGCGCCGCCTCAGCGAGTTCCTTTGCCAACCGGCTGCCACGCCGCATCCGGTTCCACAGCGCCTTGCGGCCCCAGAAGCGCGTCCGCCAGCGAGCGGCGATCGCGCAGCACTCGTCTAGCAGCGCGCCGTGCGTGGCATAGGCGGGGCACGCACGCAGCTCCGCATGCAGCCAAGAGCACCACTCCTCGTTGGATATGGCGGTGACGGCGGCCTCGTCGTCGTCGCTGCCGTGGCCGTGCGGCGACATGAATCTGTAGCTGCGACCCTGCGACCCGCAAACCCAAAGTGCGAGCCCCGCGCACCAAGCAAGTGCGAGCCGGCACGCGGAAAAAGAATTTTCGCACAAAAGAAAATAACATGGCAAAAACGTAGCGAGGAACCAACGAAGACGGGTCGAACGAAGAGGCGGCCAGGCGCGCGGGATGCCTCTCCCACTCCTCCCAAAGATCCTCACCTAACCTTTGCCACAGCGCACGCCGCCACCGGCCTCGCCGCCCTCCTCGGCGAGGTTGACCTGCTGGGCCACTGCTGCAGGGAGTGCTCCTCGACACGGCCAAGCACCGAGCATGTAGCTGCATAGCACCGAGCCTCGACTTCTACAATCATGCATACCCAGCACTAACCGCGCGGCCTCATCGCTGATGTGGCATTCGCATTGCGTTGCCAGCGAGTAAGCGTTGTTGTAGCAGCCGCCCACACCTGCGCCAATCCTCCCCACCCTCCAGTTCAAGGCCCTCAGCCCCCTGGACGAGTCCCTTGGCCGCCTTCCTTCGCGGACCAAAAGCGAACGGCGGCGCCCAATGTCTCTTCCAGTAAGAACGAGTTTCGGGTTTTTTATTTGGTGTACTTGTGTAGTGTCACACAGAGAGAACAAACAAACATGGGCTGCAAGGCGCGCGGGCAGCCCGGCCAACCCTTCGACCACAAGAACGGCCACGGCTACGTCAAGGCGCATCGCGGTTTCTACCACGACGCGATCTTTGTCAAGCGCAACAACTTCAACCTGCTGCTCCACGAGACGTTCGGCGGCGGCTTCTCGCCCACCGCCGTTCTCAAGCTGCGCCGCCTCGCGCGCAAAGTCGCGCGCGGCAGCGTCGACCGCACGGCCTACTCGCCCAAGTACTCGCTCTCTTTTATGTCCCACCATGCAGAGCGCATCTCTCTCTCTGTTGTGCGAGGCGTGAACCGCGCCATTCGCTCTCACCTGGCAACCCTGTCTGCACGTCTCGCGCGCGCGTGAACAGGGCTCCAGGCCCCAAATGACGTGTGAGTGTTAGAGTTGTTTGGTATTGCTAAAAATCTCTCTCTCAGAGAGAGATTTTTTTACTCTGCCAGTGCGACAACTCTCTCTCCCAGTGCGCGCCAGGCCGGCCAGGATGGTCCCGTGCCTAGTGTCGTAAGGAGTTGGCTTGTACAACTCTTTTGATTGTGTTAGTGCCAGTGCGCGCCAGTCCCGTGCCTAGTGTCGACGTGAGAGGGAGTGGCGGGAAAATTGATTTTAAAGGGACGCGTCCAACGGATGGCGTGCTCGGGCATTATTTGACGCGTCCGCCCAGTTGGGTCCGAGTTGTCCGGCAAGCGATGGGTTGCTGGCTTAGTACCGAGTCCGAAGGCGTGACGGTCGAGGTCACCAACAAGTCCTCCCTCCCGGTGGTTCTGTGGGTCTCGGGTGCCGGCCCGGTTTGGCAGCGCAGCGGCGGCAGCCCGATCGTCCCCGCCAAGACAACCGTCAAGATGGCGCCAGGCTCAGCCGTCGGTCTCTGGCAAGCGACCATTGCACCGCCATGCCCAGCTCTCAGCTCGCTCATCATCTGGGAGGAGCGAGTGGGCCACACAGAAGGCGCAACGGTGATATCGCTGACTGTCAACTTCAACAGTGCGCTGCCGCTGAATGACTCTGACCTCGCCCTGGGGATAGAGAGAGAGCGAGCACATTGTTGCGAAGCAGCGCGCCGTCCGGATGGCGCTGCACGATAAGTTGCGGCGCCAGAAAGCCATTCAGGATTCGACCGAGCGCCGCGCCGCCCGAGTCCTTACCAAGCGCGCGAGAGAGCTGTTGGCACAGCTAACGAGGCTCTGCCCCGTATGCCTGGAGGACTGCCCGATCACGAGCCTCACAAAGCTGGCCGACTGTGGACACAAGGTCTGCACGCCTTGCGCCAATGCCTTTGTCGACGCCGAACTCCTCGGAGGCAAAGCGTACGTGCGCTGCCCATGGGCTGGCTGCGATCGCCTCCTCGGCAAGGCGGCGCTGCGACAGTTTGGCTCGGCCGCGGCGTGGGATGCGTATGAATCAAGCCGCGTCGCGATGCACACGCAGCGGTGTGCCACTAGAGGGACGAGACATTACGATCCAGCGCCACGTACCACGAGACGTCGCGAACGAACCCGCCTCCGCAGGCTGGTCGACGAGACCGACCGCGGCTTCCTCTTGTTCTGCGCTGACCAAGCCCGCCGCTGCCCTTCCTGCATGGTCGTCATCTGGCGCTGGGCAGGGTGCCTCGCCAGAGAGACCGCCCCACACACGCTCGCAGCCAGACGTTCACCTTAGACCTTTGCAACTATAGAGCGGTGTGCTAGAACCTGCTACCTGGCAGCCGCGCCCTCCCCGGACCAGGTGCGACCACATGACCTGCCGCTGCGGCTTCTCCTTCAACTGGAACGAGGCCGCCGCCAAGATCGCGCCGCCACCTGAAACCACCTTGGCAAACGACGTGGCGAACAAGTAGATTCGATGGGAGAGGGAGAGCGCGAGAGAGGGACGGCATCGGACCGGAGCACGGAGATTATCGTGGTGTGTCCCACAAGATCATGTCTGTCTATTATCGGCCACAAAAAAGGATATTCTTCAAATCGTCCCTGCCTCCCAAACTGGCGCTACCGATAGTCGACCACAGATTTGTTCATTGGGATTCGGCCACAAGAGAGGTTAAAGGAGACTGAGATCTAAGTCGTTTGTATGAAGTTTTGCAAAAAAATGAAATGCCTCGAATTCGCCGGCACCGGTGAGCCTCCCCTCGAGCTCTTTATCCCGCAACTCCAGCTCTCCAGCTCTCCGGCTCTCTCCTCTGACGCACTACTCTAGTTTATCTCGGCTTCTTCACACATGATCCAAGCATCTCGAGTACGCGCGGCCGTGGGGTGGGGTGGAAGGGAGACTCCGCGGAGGCCGGAGCGGTATCTCCGACTCCGTGAGTACCCTACGAAAACTAGTGGCGCCACGAGTTGGGGCCCCCACCCCAATCGTTACCGGCGGATATTTTTCTTTGACCAGGCTCCAGGGGTGTGTGCGCGGAAAACGCCCAAACGTTACAAAAGAACCCAGAACCCTGCATGTGCATGGGGCACGCTTACGGTTACGAGTCGCGTTACCAACGCGAGATGCACAACTAAATGCCTTTCACAGAAATCCCTGAATGATTGCGACCCTGTTCTCTCGCCTTCTACTCAAAGATGGTGCACAAGGGTGTAGAGCCGACGCGGGGTGATGCCCACAGATGCAGAGCCCTCTTCCGTGGCGGCATCATCACGGACCGGGTGAATCGCTACGCCAACCTCGTCGTCGTCGTCGTCGCAGAACACGCTGCTGAAGCCCGGAAGCCCTGCAGACAATGTGGCGCGCGGGAAGTAGAGCCGGCCCCGCACGAAAGCGCCGCCCAGGCTTGTCTCAGCGCACGGCGTCCCCGCCTTCTCGGCCTTCCCGCTCTCGGGACAGAGACGGCCGCTCTCGTCCTCCTCGGGAGAGGCGGCATCGCCGGCCGAAATGGCAGGATCGATAGGATCCGCGGCTGCATCACCATTCGCACGAGACTCGTCTTGCAGCTCCCAGAAGGGCCGGGAGCGACGGAGCCGTCGCCCTGCGACGTGGGGGCTGCTGCCGCCGTCACCGCCACCGCCGCCGCCGCCGCCGCCGCCGCCGCCGCCGCCGACGCCGCCGCCGCCGCCGCCGCCGCCAGCGCCGCCTTGGTCCGAGTCGAGGGCACAAGCGCGCGCCTGCTTCTCCTCCTCCTGCTCCCCCTGCCCCCCCTGCTCCTCCTTCTCCTCGGTGGTCTTGAGATGCCATGCCGCCGGCTGCATGCCGCACATTGAGCGGTCCACCCGCTCGACGCATACTGGACAAGTACTCTTTTGCGAGGTGAGCCACGTCGTGATGCATTGGCGATGGAAGCTGTGCCTGTGGGAGCGATGCGGGAGGGCAGCCACATCCGGAGGGCAAAAGTTGCATGGCAGGCGTGTGTAGAGGGGGCTCACCCGCACGGGAGGACTGTGCCTTCGGCGCCGCCGGCGGCCTCTCCTCCCTCCTCCTCGCCCAAGGGATCGAGGCAGATGGCGCACTCGCCATCCCCTCCGAGGCTGCTGCGTAGCGCCAGCGCACCCGACATGGAGAGAACATCGGGTGGCGCCGCGGTTGCACGCACTGCTTCGTCGAGGCCGAGGAGGAGGTCGTAGTCTTCGGGGCCAAGCTCCTCATCGCCGAGCCGCTGGAGGCGCATCACCACCGCCATGCTGGCGTGCCCGTCAGGCGCGCCGCCGAGGTGCTCACGTGCTGCACGGGCGTTTAACCGTCGGCGCCGCCGCTCATTGAGAGATGCCGCTGCCGAGATTCGCAGGGAGATGCTGCTACCGTGTCGACGCGGACGGCGGCGCTCCGCACGCACAGGAGGCCGCGGCTGTGGTTGCTCCGTCTCCCGTGACGGCGACGCGGACGCCGCGGCACCCATTTTGCGGTGTATCTGGGAGGCGGCGCCGGCGGTTAGTTCCTGATGATTGTGCTGGGTCAAATACGGCCACGCAAACTTGCAAGTTTTGCACTTTTGCACCGGTTTCATCAGGTCACGCTAGTCAAAAAAGGAAACCGCGCGCGCATCTTAAACTGGAGGCGAGGGCGGGGCAAGCAGCGAGCCGCCGACGATGCAGCTCAACCCTGGCCTGTTGCACAATCCGACTGGCGAGCCGACGAGACCGAGGAGGTCGACCGTCTCGAGCTTTGTCGCGCCCGTGAAGTCGGCGCCGTCTACATAGCACTCGTTCAGCTGCGAGTTCGGGAGAGCGGTGCCGCGGAAGAGGGCGCGCGCAAGCGAAACGCCGATGAGGTCGGTCCCGCCTGTTCAGCAGTCCACGCGGCGAAATGGTTCATCGGGGCGATGCGGGGCGGGCCCGAGCGGCGGGATGTGACGGCACGCACTGAGCGTCGCGTAGCTGAAGTCAGCGCCTTCTCCTGACCCGCGCAGTAACTCGCACCTGTTTAGGAGTCCACACACATTACGACATACACATACACAAAGCAAACTCTCACGGCGCACCGCTCGAAGGTTGCAGAGCGGAAGGACGCGCCTACGGCAGTCCCGCGTCTCTCTCATCGCAATCGACAGCTTCACTCCAGGAGCGCGATGCATGGCGCGAGGAGCGCCGGCGAAGGAGGCGTCGGTAAAGTGCGCGTCGAGGAAAGAGGCATAGTCCATTCTGACGCCATCGAGGGACGGCTCGATCAGGTCGCACCGGTCGAACGTCGCGCCGTTGAGGACCGTCGAGGGCGAAAAGAGGACGCCCTCGAGGTCGAAGAGTCGGAACGTGCTGTGCGTCAAATTGGCGCCGCGCAGCGATGCTTTAGGCATCGTGCAGCTCTCAAACACGATGCCACTCGCGTCGGCGCCGTCAAAGATGACGTTCCTCGACTCCTCGATGGCCCTCAGCGCCGCGCCAGCCAGCGACGCCCCCTCAAACCTCGCGCCGGTCAGCGAGCCCGCCACGTGCCCGCCCGACAGCGTGGCTGCTGCCAGCGAAGCGTGCGTCAGATCCGCGCCCGCGAGCACGAGCCCTATTGGGGAGCAGTGCTTCCGTCACGCCTCCTGCGGGTCGGGTCTCCGCCCGCCCCCTCTCGAGCGCGCAACCCTCTCCAAGGGCGCGGTCTAAAGATGCTCCCACAAAAGATGCTCCCCGCGCAGTGGCCTACCACACGCGTGCGTGCCGTGGACGCGTCGTGGACGTGTCCCGGCGCCCACGCGCGACGAAAACGCCAACCCAGTGGAGAGTAGTGTCATCCAGAGTAGCGCAGTCGAGCAGCGTGTCCGTCAGGTCCACCTGGGGACGCAACGGGCCGCGCTCAGACTGCTCGGCGACGCCACTGCCGGCCGCCGCCTTGGCGGGCCGCTCACGCGCCCCGTCCAGATTGGCGTGGCTGAGGTCTGCGCCGCGGAGGTCGAGGCCGGCCAG